CAGGTGTCCTCTGTACACCCTGTGCCGTAGGAAGGTGTTGGCTGGAATGACTCGTGGGCAGCAGTGGGTTTGCTTGCTGTAAATCATGTGAGGCTCCCGGGTGTGTGGTACATGGCTGCGAACGAAATGGTTGGTCATTTGAATCCATCCAGCCGTTTCATAAAAGAAAGGCCTGGGTATCTGCCCCTGTATGGAACGCGGCTGAGCAGTTGGACTCGGGGTTGCCACCCGTTGGGAAGCTACCTGGCAGCCACTAGTGAAACGACGACAACTATGAGAGGAAGGTGTGACTAAGGTCACACGATGTCATCATCTGTTTTCTTTTTAATGTCGTCTGACTAGGCTGAGTGGAGATGGGAGCTCAAATTGGAAATGGCTGCCTGTGGATGCCAGAAGAATCTCAGTGGCCTATTTGTGTTTAGGCCACTCCTTACACACTAGCGTTATCTCCTTAATTACAGTAGCAAGGTGCTCCACCAGGTCTTACGTGGCACATACTTAATGTAAACCAGCAGTAACCGACTGTGGGAAAATTAGAACATCAAGGTCCCTGTATTTGGAGAAGGGCTGGTGGCTCAGTGGATTAAGCATTGGGCTGCTAACTGAAAGGTCAGTGGTTCAACCCAGCATCAGCCCACGTGAGAGACGAGGCCACCTGCTTCTGTACAGTAACAGCCTGGGAAACCCCACGGAGCAGTTATTCTGTCCCGGAGGGCTGCTCAAACACAATGATGAGGGTGGTACAGGAACAGACGGTGCCAAGTTCAATGTGTGGGTCATCCGACACTCTAGAGCAGCAGTACTCAACCTGTAGGTCTCGACCCCTTTGGGGGTCGAACGACCCTTTCACAGGGGTCATCCAATTCATAACAGTAGCAAAATGACAGTGATGAAGTAGCAACGAAAATAGTTTTATGGTTGGGGGGGCGGGGATCACCACAACATGAGGAACTGTATGAAAGGGTCACAACATGAGGAAGGTTGGGAACCACTGCCCTAGGGTGGGGGGCCTGGTAGCGGTCTGCCCTGGTAGTGTAGTGAGTTCCCCATTGGGCTGCTTACCACAGCAAGGTCAGCAGTTCAGACCCTCCATTCTGTGGGAGAAAGAGGAGGTGCTCTGCTCCCATAAAGATTGACAGCCTCTGAAACCCTGGGTAGGCTCGCTGTTCTGTGCGGCAGAATCGACTTGGTGGCCCTGTGTTTGGGGTTCGGTGGCCCTGTGTTTGGGGTTCGGTATAGGTTCGCTAGGAGTTGGCATCATTTGGATGGCAGGGGGGTTGGCTTGGTTTGGTTTCATTAGTTTTGTTTTTAGGGGAGAGGGCTAGAGGCAGCTCTCCTGGCAACAACTCCCACAATCCCCAGCTCCTACCCCCATTGCCCTTAATAAGAGTTCTCTTGTGTAATTAGAGAGAAGCCTTTAAACAACATTTGCAAAGGGTAGTAAGCTGGAATGATGAAGGAAGGAAATTAAACTCTTGTCTAGTATTTCCTCTCTGGGCTCAATTTAGCAATTGTCAGACAGCTCAGTGTGCACTTACCATTTTTCTCAGCTCTTAAGAAAATCCCTATTATTTCCTTCTAGCTTCCAAAATAACAGCCCAACACTGACTTAAGTATATCCTTGGACCCTTACTGAGAGTTACCTGGCTTGACTAGAAGCTAGAAGCTTCTTGTGAATCATGCTACAGAAACTGTAGCTGTCCTCATGCAAAAGAGCTCTTACGAGCGATCAGACTTGAACCCTGCTCTTTGTTAGCTAACCTACATACACTTTAGAAATGGGACAGCAATAACTCCGCTCGACCTAACACCGTAGGGCATGTAAGCTGTCTCATGTACCCGCATGGCTCCAGCTTCCATTAATTGGTTGACTAAGAAATGGATTTTCTTTCCAAGGTTTAGGGGTCACTGTATTTTTCAGAGAAATGGGTGTAATACAACTGTTTATGAATGCATGTAGGCGAGTGTTTATTTAGTGTATGTGCTAGGATATAAATTAGACTTGATCCAATTAGGACAATTCTAGTCCTGATAAGAGAGTGAAGACATAAGCAACTATACAAGATAGAAGGTGACAAAGAAAGGGCGGGACCAGGCATCTGAAGCCAGAAAGACTTCACGGAGGCCAGGCATTTGAAGTATGGGTAGGGTTTGGAAATGTAAGTGTGGGAGGGAGATTGGGTGAAGCAAGATAGCTTCATAAAACAGGAACTTTTGGGGAGTGGAGGAGACCTCCTTTGAGCTATGGAATGCTACCCCCAGTGTGAAGAAATAGCATGGGGCCCATCCGACCGCCTGACTTTGGTAGGGAAATGGAGAGTCCGTCTCCATGCCACCCCAAGGCCGACTGCCACATAGCAGGTCAGTCAGACCTCTGACCTTCTTTAAGTTCATTCTGACACCAGCCGTTCTTCTCCCTCTGCCTGCTGCATCCAATTATCCATTGCCGTGGCCACACGGATCTCACACTACTCACAATTATGGGGGGTTATTTTTTTATTCTTGTTCCAATTATGGGGGTTTGGGGGGTACTTTAACAGGTTAGCACAAGTCAGGACCAGAAAACATTAAGGATGTAGCCATTGGTCCACAGCAGTGCCTCTCCTCAGCCTGCAGCCGAGCCGGTGTGGTCATCAGCCTTTCAGCCATGTGGTCCCTTGGCCTCTATCTTGTGCTGTGGTTGGAGCTTGCCTGCCACTCTGCCTCTGTCACTCAGACGCACCCCTGGTGGCTCTCCTTCCTTGGCAGTCACAGGAACCCCCTCTTCCTGCTTCTGAGCTGCCTCTTATACCCAGGGGAATGGCAAAACTGACCGATCTCCATGCTAGAGCGCTCTACACCTTATTTGCATGGTGCCGCCCAATCGTATGGCCGGGGTTATAGAGAAAGAGATATAAGGACCTCCGTCTGTAATTGATTGCACATCGCCACATGGTAAGAAATAATCAACCAAAATAACCCATGCAATATCTCAAGTAGCCAAGGCCACCTTGGGTCACAGTAACGTTTGTGTAGGCACTTGGTTAATGAGCCACACAGGAATTACCTCAGGAGTGGGAAGTTGAGGCTAAGGAGAGGGAGGGGCACCTGAAAGTCGTGGAGAAAGGTCCATTTGTGTGGGAGCAGCTTCATGATGTCTGTAAGTCTTGGGATGCTGTCAAAGCTGTTTGTTGCAGTGTTATTTACCTATAATGGTCAAACCTGAGAAATAACCCAAACGTCCCACCATACTGGAAGTCAAACTGACAGCCTTGGAACCGACTCTAACTCCTAGTGACCCTGTAGGTCAGAGTAGCTGTAGGCTTTACGGAAACAGCCTCATCTTTCTCCGGGTTTGGACCACTCACCTTTGAGCTAGTGGGCCAACGCTGAGCCGACTGCACCACCAGGGATTCTGTGGCTCGGCTGTCAGGGACTATTAACCAAGTGTTGAGACAGTAGTGTAATGTGGTGTAGTAGTAATGCATTGGGCTGCTAAATGCAAGGTCAGCAGTTTGAAACCACCAGCTGCTCCACAGGGGAAAGACGAGTCTCAGAGACTCACAAACTCACAGAGGCAGGTCCACCCTGTCCTGTAGGGTCATTATGGGTTGGAATTGACTCAGTGGCAGTGAATTTGGCCCATGTCTCTAACTCACACCACATGCTTAGGTGGGACCATGCAAACGGGGTGTGAAATCCTAACTGGGAGGACTGATCAGCTCCAGTTGCCATCCCCTTGGCTATCAGCCATCTCAGAAGCAGGAGAGAGAGATTCCCAGGACCAACAAGGAAGGAGAACCATCGAGATCCCTGCCTAAAGGGCGGAGGTCGAAAGCAGAGGCACTAGAGGCCGAGGCTCAGAGACTGTGGGACAGGGCAGAGGACCCACCTTGAAACCAGAGGCCAAGGGACCATGTGACTGAAAGGCTGAGGATGAGAGAGAGACTTGGCTGCAGGCCCAGGGAAGGCACTGCTGTATCCTTACTGCTTATCGATCCTGACTTGTAACTTGTTAACGCCCCTAGTAAACGTCTCTCATCTGGTTCGGTGTGGCAGTTGCAACCAATTATGGAATCCAGCAGAAAAGTGGAGTGGAGAATGGCTGGTGTCCGAATGGGGTAAAGAGGGCTGGAGGGTGGAGGCACGACTGATGTCTGGCTGGGCTGGTATGGAGGCAGCTTTTGCTCCCTGCTGAAGCCAGAGGAGGCCACGTATGGCTCCTACACGGCTTCTGCCCTCTGTGCCGCCAAGTTCAGGAAAGGCTGCTGTGCGGTACTTAGAAGGGACTGACACAATGAGCTGGTTGGCAGAGGCGGGATTCAGTGAAGGCTTTCCTGAGGAAGTGATGTTTGAGCTGAGATGTGCAGGAGGAACGGTCCCAGCAGGGCAGAAGCCCTGTGGATGCCGAGCGCATGGGCTGACGGCCCTCTGGTGTGGCGGACCTGTGGACAGAGAGTGAGAAGGGCGTGTGTGGGTAGCTAGATCTGCATTTCCTTGTATCACAGACTGCTTTACAATAAGCGCCCGTTTACATCCACACCTTTCTTTGAATCTCATCTGGAACTTGTCTTCCAGAAGAAAGAAGTGGTAAGGAAATGAATTCGTTTGGATCAATTGCAGGCCGACTCATGTGTCATGTGCTAACTGGTTTTACAAGGCACTTGTTCTCCCCAGAACTCAGAAAACTGTTGGAGGTGTGCCCATTGCTGTCTTGTGCTATACACAAGGAAAGCATAACTAAGCAATTGGCTGTTAACTGCACAGTCGGTGGTTCAAACTCACCAGCCACTCCATGGGAGAAGCATGAGACTGTCTATACCTGTCCAGATTTACTGCCTTGGCAACCCTACCCAAGGTTGCTATGAGGAGCCCTGGTGGCGGGCTGCTTCAGTCAGTAGATCGAACCCACTAGCCGCTCCTCGGGAGAAGGAGGAGGCTGTCTGTCCCCGTAAAGATTGACAGTCTTGGACACCCACAGGGGCCGTTCTTCCCTGCACTCAGGGTCACAGTGCGTTAGAATGGACTCGAGGGTACTGAGTTTGGATTGTGTCTGAGTATTCTTTATGGAAGCAGATCGCCAGGCCTTTCTTGCACTGCACCAGCGGGGCCAGGTGGGTGAGCTATCAGGTGGAAAAGCATTGGCTTCTCTTGGCAGTTATTTCAATTATGTGCATACGGGAACCTTCGTGTGCAAAGACGGTTGTGTTGCTGTTGGGTTTTCAGGTCACAGGAGGCTCCAGCGGCATCGGCAAGAGCATCGCCATCGAGTGTTATAAACAAGGAGCCTTCATCACTCTGGTCGCACGGAATGAGGTGAGTCAAAGTCCCGTATCCCCTCCTGTGCTAGACACTGCCCGTGTCCCCTGATCTATGGTTCCCAAACTGCTAGCTCCTCCTGGTACCAGGGGGCTCCAGACATTTCATAGGAAGCTGGTATGGAGAGATAATAGAGTTTTCCACAAACATTTTATATTTACGGCAAGGACCTCAGAGTCGAAGTCAGAGCAGCCTGACTAATCTTTCTTGGGCTCTAAGTCTGGAATTAGGAGCCCTGGTGGCGTAGTGGTTACGGGCTGGGTTGCTAACCACCAGGTCAACAATTCAAAACCACCAGCTTCTCTGAGAGGGAAAGATGAGGCTCTCTATCGTTGTAAAGAGTCCAGTCTCAGCAACGCACAGGGGCAGTTCTACCCTGCCCTCTAGGGTCATTGCGATTTGAAATTGACTGATGGCCGTGAGTTTGGTTTTGGTGAGGGGGATTTGTAGGTGAGTCGGAACAGGTGCCCACTGTTCTGATGTTGGTACAAGGAAAGCTTGAGCCCCTTCCATGGATTTATGCGCTTTGGATGCAGGAAGCGAAGGTAATGGTGACGAATTTGTGGGGAGCGGAGACTGGGTCAGTCTTTGGCAAGTAGGAGTCGTCCCTAAGCCAGGTGTTCAATCAGATGTCTTCTCACCCGGGGTTCACCTGGGCTAGCAGACTTGAAGGGAGAGCGAAAACATAGTTCCTAAGCTGCGTCCTTGTGAAGCGGTCAGTGTGGCGATAGGAGAGAGCAAGAAGATCTGGCTGTCAGAAGCCGAGGTGCACTGTCATGTCTGTACCACCCACTCTGCTGTCCTGTGCCCAGAGTCCAGTTGGCTCCAGTTTGTGGCAGGCAGGCTTACGGATAACGAAGCAGAATGGTGCCCAGTCCTGAGTCAGCTTCCCGTCGTTGTAGAATCCACTGTTGATAAGTGAGCACCTTCCAGCCCAAGGTGCACCCTTTCCAGTGTGGTACCGAGCAATATCCTATCCTGCTCCCCGGGGTCTTTATGGTTAATTTTCAGAAGTTTTCTTCCTAGTCTTAGTCTAGAATTAAAAAAAAAAAAAGTTTTATACAGGGCTTTTACAGCTCTTATAACAATCCATACATCAATCACATTTGTGCATATGTTGTCATCATCATGTTCAAAGTATTTTCTTTCTACTCGAGCCCTTGGTATCAGCTCCTCTTTTTTTCCCTCCTTCCCCCACCCTCCCACCCTCGTGAACCCTTGATAAAATATAAATAAATGTTATTTTCATATCTTATATCGTCCACTATCTCCCATCATCCATGTTTCTTTTGTTCGTCCTCTGTGTGTGTGTGTGTGTGTGTGTGTGTGTGTTGTACATCGATCATTGATCATTGCAATAGGGTCTCTCTTTCTAACCCCTCCTTCCCCCTACCCTCATGGTATCGCTACTCCCATTACTGTTCCTGAGGGGATTATCTGTACTGGATTCCATGTGTCGAGAGCTCTTATCTGTACCAGTGTACATGCTCTGATCTAGCCAGATTTGTAAGGTAGAGCTGGGTCATGATAGGGGAGTGAGGGGGGCGGGGGGTGGGGGGTGGGCAGGAGGAAACATTAAGGAACTAGAACAATGTTGTGTGTTTCGTCGGTGCTATGAATTGGTACACTCTGGCTTACTCGTTCCTTCCTTGTGACCTTTGTGTGAGGGGATGTCCAGTTGTTTACTGATGGGCTTTGGGTCCCCACTCAGACCCTCCTCATTCTCAACCATATTATTGTTTGCCTGATACCTGATCCCATGGCTGGTGTGCTTCTTCCACGTGGGCTTTGTTGCTACCTTGCTAGATGGCTGCTGGTTTAACTTTAAGCCTTTAAGACCCCAGATGCTATCTCTTCTAATAGCTGGACACCATCAGCTTTCTTTACCACATTTGCTTATGCACCCATTTTTTCTTCAGCAATTGTGTTGGGCAGGTGAGCATCACAGAATGCCAGGTTATTAGAACAAAGAGTTCTTGCATTGAGGGCGGGCTTGAGTAGAGGCCCAGTGTCCATGCTACCTTCATTTAGTCTAGACATTCTGCTGAACCCTGTCTACCAAGGATTACCCTGCTGGTATTTGAAATAGCTTTCAGCACAACATCACATGAGCCAGTGCAGAATGGCAAGCTGACTGATAGGCAGTGGCATGGAGTCCAGCAGATTTGTAAAAAGCAGTTACTGACTAAATCAGTGGTTCTCAACCTGTGGGTCTGGACCCCTTTGGGGGTCGAATGACTCTTTCATTGGGGTCGCCAGGTTCATAACAATAGCAAAATGACAGTTATGAAGTAGCAACGAAAATAATTTTATGGATGAGGGGCCGGTCACCACAGCATGAGGAACTGTATTAAAGGGTCGTGGCAGTAGGAAGGTTGAGAAACACTGACTAAATGAACAAACACTGGACTGAATGCTTCTTGGAAGGACGTTCTCATCGGGCTTAAGGCCCCCCCTCATCAGCACACTCTCACCTTGATCCCTGTCTCATTGTATCTGCAAAGACCCTATTCCAGATGCAGTCACATCCTGAGGTTCCAGCTGGATGTGGATTTTCGGGGTCCCTGTTCAGTTCACATCACTGTCACCTATTCATAGTTTCACTTGACGCTCCTGCCTTCTGTCGTCCATGGCCCATGGTGCTACAAGGCAGGTGTTCTTTTCTGGAATTGAATCAATACTCAAACAATTCCTGGCTTTTCCCTTTCCATTTAAAGAAGCAGTCACACGGGTAGACAGTTGCCAGAACTAATCGTTCTCTGTGTTGTTTTTAGGACAAGCTGCTGCAGGCCAAGAAAGAAATTGAAAAGCACTCAATTAATGATAAACAGGTAAATCATTGTCTCCAGGAAGTGTTTGCTGGGCTCATCAACCAGTTCATTGAAAACATGTAGGATTTTCCTCATTAAGATAAGTATCAGTGACTTTTAAAACCGTGAAATGTTGGAATTGTTTAGGAACTCAGATCATTAACATCTCCTCCAAATATAAATGAGGGAGTATCTCCACAAACAAAAAACAAAAGGTGGGGGAAAGGTCCCCAGGGCGGGTTTTGTAGTACACGTTTTTCCCGCCAGGGGAGCATGGAGCCTCATTCTCCACCCAGTGGCTTCACCTGGGAAGGGTCTCTCTGGTCACAGGGAATTTTTCTCCTAAAAGCAGTTTTTCTAGAACCTCGGGGGGGTTTTTTGTGATGGTCGATTTAGGAGAACTGCATGCAGCTGTGAAATTTTGTTTCCTGCTTGGGAAAAATGCCACAGAAACGGTTGTGATGCTGAATACGACTTACAAGGACAGCGATATGGGAAAAATCTCAAGCGTACGAGTGGTTTTCTCATTCAAAAAAAGGTGAAATATCAGTTGATGACAAATCTCACTCTGGACTTCTGAAAATGCCGAGTTGGAGTGCATTCAGAGTTTGTTACACCAGGTGAGACTGTTAATCAAGCTTTCTATTTAGAGGTTCTGAAAAGATTGCGTAACAGTGTGAGACCAAAAAGGCCTGATTTGTGGCAGAGGGGGGACGGGTTTTGCCACTTCAGCAATGTATCTGCTCACTCAGCCATCTCAAGGCGCCAGTTTTTGGCAAAAAACAGAATGCCTCTCTTGCCCCACACACCTTACTCACCTGACCTGGTTCATGCGACTTCTTTGTGTTTCCACAAATGAAGAGGGACCTGAAAGCAATTTGATGATGTAGAAGAGGTGAAGAAAAAAAACAAACAGGGAAGTGCTGTCAACCATACAAACAGATGAGTTGGAAAAATGTTTCCAAGAATGGAATCACAGATGTGACAAATATATTAAGAGTAATGGAGAGTACTTTGAAGGTGATAAGGTTGTTTTGTCAAAAATTTTAAATACATAGGTTATTTTGGGAGGTGGGGGGCTCCTGGGATTTGTTTCTTGGTATCCCCTCATATGTGTATATATGTGATATAGAACTTCATAAACACACAGAAATCATATAACAATTTTTACCAGATAACTTTTTAATTTCATTCACTAATTTAAATAGATTCCATACAAACCCTTAAGGGGATAGAGCTGGTGGACACCTTTTATTTTTAAAGTTTTTCAGTGAAGGAAAGAATATACATGTGCGTGTATCTACAGAGAAAAGTGTAAGGCACGATAAGTTCACAGCCACACTCGTCATCCAGCTTGAGAAATAGAATGTTCCAGAGCTCCAAGGGCCCCGGGGTCTCGTGTCTTCTCCAGATGCCGCTGCCAGCCGGGCTCTTCTGTGGCTGCCCCCTCCCTTTGCTTTCCCTTCTGACTGCCCCACACATGTGTGGGATCCTGGCTCATTCACTGTCTAGTTCTCCGTTTTGAATTTTATGCCGTTACTTTTTCTTAACTGCCTTATTGCAGGTTATTCACCTGCCATGCAACTGACCCATTTAACATGAGCAGTTCACTGGAGCGTAGTCACATATGTGCAAGCAGGACCCAAGTCAGTTTTCGCCACTGCCTTGTTTTCCCCACAACCCGGCCCGGCCCCAGGCAGTTGTGGGTGTGCATTCCGTCTTTCCAGACTCGGGCCCGGCATGCATGCTTCCGACAGTCTGGTGTACCTCGGTTTCTTCTGAGATTCACCTGTGATGCTACATGCAGGTGGATGTCGTTGAACAGCGTGGGTTTGAACCACACAGATCCACTGACACGTGGGTTTTCACAAAACTCCATGTCATCTCCCTGTGGGCAGCTCAGGGCCTCCGTGGATTGAGGTTCACAGTAAGAAGCGATTTCTCCAGGGTTCTGGAGTCTTAATACATTATCAACCTTGGATAACCAACCAACCCTGTACGAAGTGCCACTGGTCCTCCCGAAGCAGAGAACAGTCTGCACAAGAAGAGGCTGACTTGCGGGGGGCGTACCGTAGGCCGAGGTCTGCAGCTGCAGTTGCCCCTCTGTTTCAAGAGAAGTGAATCTAGCGTAAGGACCATTGTTTTTAAAAGGAGAGAGAGCACTTCATGAAGCTGTGACTGCAGGCATGAGCACTTTTTCTGAAATCCCACTTTTCATCTCGTATGGAAAGTGCAGCTTCTGTGTGGTTACAGTGTATGGCTCCTAGAACATACAGAATCTATGCTAATGGACAGTTGATGCTGTTGGTAAGGCCTCTGCTCAACAGCTGACTATGAATAGTTAAAATCTGGGCAGTCAGAAGTGACCCCAGGATTCTTGACCACGTAGAGGTTTGGTGCCACTAAGCCTCCCACGTTGTTTGAGGGTCAACCCCAGTTCGTTTTTTACTGTTCTGTGGTGTTCTGCGCCCCAGCCCCCACCAAGACTAACACAGTTGTTTTCAAGGCTCAGACAGGCTGAGCAGTACCCCCATCCACACGGCAAGGTGAGCCCCCAAGCCCTGGCCAGGTTTGTGTCGGCTGGACTCTGGGGCCCTTTGGTGAAGAGAAGCTGAGCAGGTAGGCTAGTTCCGGAGTCAGGAATTTTAAGCCTCTGAGGCGACCGACTAGGACTTGGCTCCCAGGCTGGCTCCTCCAACCCAGGGTGGATCATGGCCATGCAGTTAGTCCTCTGGGTCTTGTTGGGCCGCCACCTGGCTCAGCCTCTGAGCAAGGAGCTGGACCGGAGGGACTTCCGGAGTAGGTATGGTTTAGCAATGTCTTTTAGGTCTTTGTTCCCTCTAGTCTCACGGAAGCCCCGCAGGGTGGTCCTAGTCGCAATTCTGTTTAAGGGCAGGTGTGCTCCGTCCGGCTTTGGACGTTTATCTTGGGCAGAACAGAGTTTTGCTTCTCGTGGGATCCCGTCATTCTGGGACCGCTGGGAGTGGAGGAACTGAAATGTGCATGAATTGTTGACTGGGAAACCAATGTGCTCAGTTCACAGTAAAACTTCCCTCAATCATAATTTTTAAAAAGTAAATAAATCATCTTGAAAAGGAAAAGAAGAAGATGCTAGGGATTTCGGTTTTCAGTTTAAAGATGGTTTCAGTACTGTGACGGGTTCTTCTAGTCTCAGTGGCCCCAGAACTTCTACCCTCGTTTCTCATTTCATTAGACGTGGCCTACCTAACCCTTCCTGCCTTCTGAGCTTGGCCTTGGACAAATGCTACCCTTTTGATTTCAAGGGGTTGACTGTCCTGAGGAGTGCAAACCTCCTCACCAACGTTACTGGTCCCTTCATAGCCCTGCCTACTACTTGGCTGAAAATTGAACCACAGCGGTGGGTACAGTTCCAGGCCTGAAGGGGAACTAAGGATCATTGTCTTGGGGGTTCCACCAGGCGCTATCCAACCAGTAAGCCTGGTCTTCTTATGACATCGAGTTTTGTTTCATATTTTCCCTCCTATCTAGAACCTTCTAATGTGACCCCTTTCAGAGTGGTAGTGGGGTGCTATCTAGTTCTTCTGGACTCAAGGCTGTGGGGGCTGATGTCCACTTGGCTCTCTGAACGGGTTTTCCATGTGTCTTTTATTTTCTTCACTGTTCTCCGGTCTAAACAAGGAGGGGCCAGTAAGGTGCCCCTTAGCCCTGGCGGCTCTTGAAGCCAAACAAGGGCACAGCCTTCTTAGAAAAGGATGTCTGCCGTGAGCATTGTGCTCTTCATTGGATCAGATTGACAACTGCAACTCCCAAGGTCAGCTAGGAAGGGGCCTTTGTGGGCAGAGAGTGTGTGTTCAGGGGTGAGGGACACCTCAGAGAAGGAGGGGAGAATGGCTGCCTACCTCGCAGAATGTGGTCGGTTTCACTGAACTGTGCACACTGAAATGGTTGCACTGGTGTACATTACACCAGTGCTGAGCATACTCACCACCAACCAAAGCATATTAAATAAACAGCTAAATAAACCAAGAGTCCTTTCTCCTCTCCTCTGCTCTGTTCCTGCCTGAATTTGCTGTTTACTGTGCAAGTGAAAACTGTTACTTCATCACCAAAAATAAAGGAGTGAAAACAATTTTAAATAAACACTTTTTACTTTAAAAAAATTGTTAGTTTATTGCTACTCTTCTTAACAACTCTCCCGAGGTTTAAGTTTTGTGCAGTGAGCCATTTTATTGAGGGATTTTGACCGATGTTTTCCACTTTGAGAGAATCCCTGGTGGCGCAGTGGTGCAGGCGTCCTCAAACTACGGCTCGCGGGCCACATGCGGCCCGCTGAGGACATTTATCCGGCCTGCCAGTTGTTTTTGCCCCATTTTGTTTTTTACATCAAAATAAGATATGTGCAGTGTGCATAGGAATTTGTCCATAGCTTTTTTTAAAAACTATAGTCTGGCCCTCCAATGGGCCTGAGGGACAGTGAACTGGCCCCCTGTTTAAAAAGTTTGAGGACCCCTGGGTTAAGTACTCGCCTGCTCCCAAAAGTTCCGTGGCTGGAACCCTCAGGCGAAAGCCTACAATGGCTGTCTGCTTTCATGGAGATTAACAGCCTCAGAAACTATGGGGCGGCCCCACGCCCTCCTGTAGGTGCCGTGTGAGCTGGAACATGATGGATTTGGATGGTGTTGGGATCTCACTTGTGAAGAGATGGAAGATTCCTTTCTCCCCCACCCACTCATGTTTCCCCAGGCCCCTTGGCTGTCCATCCCCACCTCGTCTGCTTCTGGCTACAGGGAACTCTGATTTGCTTTCTGTCGACAGAGATAATGATATAGTAGAACCCCAGACCTCAAACGCTAAACCATTCTAGAAGTAGTGTCAAGATGCGATGCAGTCAAGTTCTGATCCATTTTTCCCATAAGAAATAACAAAACAGATTAATCTGTTCTCAATCACCAAGTTCTTTCCCTAACCTTGCCTTTTTATACAAAACATTACACAGAAATTTCAAAGTAAATAAGTCCAGAGTTAAATAATATAATTTGAATAAGAAACATAACATGGAAAAGCTTTTAACAACTACAGTATGGCCCATACCTTGAGATGGATGAGGATCTGGATCTGTGGACAGGGATGTGGAGAGAGGAGTATGGAGAGAGTTTTGTCTCTTCTTTGCCTTTTTTCACTAGGACCTGGCTGGCTTTCTCTAAAACAAAAAAAATCTGTCTAATATGGTCTGCTGTTGGCATTTCCTTAACTGTTTCTTAAAAGGGTTCACTAAGTTAACTGTATCGATAACACAGTTTAACCAGTTCCTTATCACGATGATTATTTTCAAAAACTCTTTCTTAGGACCCATGTTTTTTAATCTAAAAACAGTACAAAAATCCACAAAAACTCAGAAAATTATAGCAAAATGCTTGGAACACACCCACAAAAGCTTGCAACAATGCATACTAACAATGTCAATTAACACCAAGTGACCGAAACACGAACTGCTTTTGTTTACAAAAATCACATGCATCAGGTTGGATTCCGATGTTTTGTTCGAGCTCCAATGCAGAATATTCTTGACTTTTCACGTGGAAATCCAATTAGGTCGAGTACTGATATGGTTGAGTACTGGGGTTCTACTGTATTTCAAGATGCGTATTTTTGTATTTCTTAAAACTTTTCAGTTCCTTGACCACTAAGACTGCCAAGAAAGGTTAACCTCAAGGCTGCATCGCGCCCAGATGGCCTGCCACACTGTGTCCCAGCGGGGCTGCTGCCACTTGCTTTTTCACTGCCATTCGGGGCCCGGTGCACAGAACAAGCCGGTTTCCCATTCCACAATCTGAACACGTTTTCATTCGTGCCCATGCAACACTGGGCTTCATACCCTTTGTAAAAGAATCCTGTAAGGAAAAGGAAATCAGTGTTGCAGAAATGGTTTGGTCCCTGAGATTGTGTCTCCTGCCCATGTGACCAGGTGGTGCTCTGTATATCAGTGGACGTCTCTCAGGACTACAGCCAAGTAGAGAATGTCATCAAACAGGTAAGAGTCTGGGTTCCCAATGGGAACTCGCTTGCATTTTGATGGATTCTGACCATTTTCTGCTGTGGCTCAGGGTTGGCCCATATTCCCTGAAGGTTTGATTGCCCCATGCATTCTCAAGTCAGCAGCTCTCAACCTGTGGGTCACGACCCCTTTGGGGGTTGAATGACCCTTTTACAGGGGTTGCCCGATTCATCACAGTAGCAAAATTACTGTTGTGAAGTAGCAACGAAAATAATTTTATGGTTGGGGGTCACCACAACATGGGGACCTGTATTAAAGGGTCAGGGCATGAGGAAGGTTGAGAACCGCTGCTCTAAGTGATGGTCCTCCCTGCTGCCTTAACGTTGGCTCTGCTCAATTTTTCTAGGCTCAGGAGAAACTGGGTCCAGTGGACATGCTTGTAAACTGTGCTGGAACAACAATGGCTGGCAAGTTTGAAGAGGTGGAAGTCAGTGCTTTCGAAGTAAGTAAGATTGTGCTCCCTTGGCAGGGAATCGGTCTGACTTGCTCCCACCAAATCCACACCAGCCCGAGGGTGATTTCTGTGCAGCAGAGGTCAGCCCTGCCTTCTCCCTCCCACCTGCTTTACCTTCTTCTGACACCCGCCATCCCGCCCAGGGCGCTCTGCTTCTCTGCTGGCTTTGATAATCCGTCGCAGTGACCACACAGAGCTCACAGACAAAACTCAAGGATGATGGCTGTTTATTAGGGACGTTAACAGGCCGCTATAGGTTAGAACCAAAAAACATGAAGGATACAGTCCTTTGTCCACAGCAAGGCCTCTTCTCAGCCATGCTGGCAGGCCTGGATCTCTCCCTGACCCTTGGCCTCAGACACAAGGCTTCTTGGCCGTTGCTCTGTTTGGCAAGTATTATAAAAATCCTTCAGTGCTGCCAGTGGGCAAAGGCACTCATTTTGACTTGCTCCATGTGCCAGGAGAGATCACCTTCATAGGTGCAGGGTTGGAACATCATCTTTCTACATGGCCCGGTTCAGTTCATACTCTGTGAACTCATGCTCGTTCCTTCAACCCACAAGTACTCCAGCTGGCCTCAGTGCTTCAGACAGTGGCTTGAGGCCTGGGCAGGGCCCTGAGGCCAGAGGCCAGAGTTTTAGGCCTGTCCCAGTGGGGTCAGCACAGGTGGTGGAATTCAGATGGTGTCCCGGGCTGGGAGGGTGGAAGCAGGGAGCACCCTCTGTCTGGCTCTCTCCCATGGCTGTCTCTCTGTGTGTCTGCTCATAAGGCTTAGGGCCTTTGTCAGCAGTCTTTGGGCTTAGGGCCCATTCATCGCCAGTAGAACCTCAACTTAGTCCACCAGCTTCATCCACAAGGGCCTGCTCTCCAAACGGAGGCCCCTTCTGAGGCGTGGGTGGGCATGCATTCTGGGGACACCAGTTTGTAGCTTGGTCGTACTGCCCCTTGGAGTAGGCAGGGGCAGGAGGGCCTGCTTCATCCACTCAGCATACCTGTTTGCCCCCTTTGTGCCCCCTGCAGAGACTAATGAGCGTGAACTACCTGGGCAGCGTGTATCCCAGCCGCGCAGTCATCGCCACCATGAAGGAGCGCCGCGTGGGGCGGATTGTCTTTGTGTCCTCGCAGGCTGGACAGCTGGGCCTGTTCGGCTACACTGCCTACTCCCCATCTAAGTTTGCCTTGAGGGGCCTGGCCGAAGCTCTGCAGATGGAGGTGAGCATGGGTTTCCCCCCACCCCCAACCCCATCTTTGTCCTGATTGATCTGTTCTTTCTTTTTTTTGGGTTTTTGTTTTGTTTTTTATTTTTTTAACAATTAAGAGAGTTTATTAGGGAAGTCAATAGGTAGTCACAAGCCAGGATCAGCAAACCATAAGGAAGCAGTCATTGGTCTCCTCAGCCAACAGCCAAGTCTCTGGTTCTCAGTCTCTCAGCCCCGTGGTCCCCTCCTGGGTATTTAGCTCAATGGATGGAAGGGAGGCAGCCTCCCTGTCACTCTGTCTCACAGCTCCACAATCTCAGGTCAGATAAGGAGAAGGTGCCCCTTGGTCCCAGAGCTGTTCTTCTGAGTCTCCATGCCACCGTCAGTGATGCATCTGGTGTCAGAGGCCTCCGACACTTCAGACAGAGCTCTTGACCTTGCTCTTCCA